TCATATATTTGGAGGCAAAATGGTCCTTCATAATATGATTCGGAACGAAATTTTTCGGACTCTTCAGAGAGACATATTCGGTGCAAGCGACATCTGCACCCAAAAATATCAATTAAAAGATTGATAGACGCTATTTGCACCAAGAAATGTCTATCGAAGAAGAGACTTGAATCAAAGATTAGAAAATTCATGATGAAGGACCACTATATTCGAGAGATCATATGAGATAAGATTTGAACGATTTCTGCGTCCAAAAGTCCGCGGCATCCTAACCAATACAAATGAGAGTGAAATATCGTATATAGAGAACATAGAGCCTCGATGAAGAAATTCGCCGTCATGCGAGGGAAATTATATTATAGATTGGAATCCATTGCCTGACATTTCTATATAGTGTCCTATGGATATCTTGATCGTTCCCATTTCTCTTTGTAGGCAATCTTGTTGGGTGCGATGTCGAAGGTTTTCCTTGATATCTCGATTTTCTCTCCTTTTTGATCGTCAGATTTGGGATGTGAAAGTTTGTCGATGGCTAAAATCCGGTCGGAGAATAAATGCAGAGATCGTGCGATTGCTCAGGAAATCATATTCAAGATATAGGATTTGATCCATTGATTTTTGATTATTCGGGAGGATTGGAATCGGAAGGCGATCTTCTTTGATTTCGTTTTGTCGGACGATCGATGATAATCGTCAACATAATAAAATGGGATTTTTGGGTCATCCCTTGAGATAACGTATTTCTTTCATATTTCAGAAATATGGATAGATATATGCAATGGGCTAGGGATGGAAATATGGGTCCGCAGATTTTATGCGATCATTCTCTCCAATTCCTCCAAATAATTTCGGAAATTTGATCAGGATCCCCATGCGCAAATTGGTGGCATGGTTGACTATCATCTATTATTGAGATTTCCAATGATCGCCTGGCCCCATTGGATATGAATGAATTCAATCTAGATTCTAGATAGTTGATTCTTGGATTAGGGTAGAAATCTCTTTTCTTGATTTTTGGAGAATCCCTTCGTCGATACTCTATTTTCTCTGATCCATTGATATCTTCCCTTATTTGGGGGGGTGGTGGGTGCATTGCCCAATCCGGGTTCGTTCCTGATTCGTTTCATCTTTGGAATTCGTGAATGGATTCTCTCTTCATTTGCGTTTTTGGATTCTCTCGATTTCATATTGGAAGGTTTATATCTTGATATTTGAAGGGACAAGGTATCCTTCTTCTAGAGATTCCTATAAATCTATTTATAGATCAACCCAATGAAATATCTCAAGAATCTTCATAGATCTTTTGCCTTATGGAATGAGAATTATTAATATGGAAGAATTTTCCTCAAATCAATTATATCAAAATTGATAAGAGAAAATCAATAATATACATATCCGAAGAAAAATAACGTAATTGAATCATTTTTGATTTATAGAATTCTAGTTTTGAATTGGATTCTCTTTCTAATCATTTTGAATAAAGATTTGGTACGAAGATTCCAATAATATCATTTTTCTTATATATTTCTATATGTCAATATAGATCCATATATGAAAAGTAAGGAGAATAATTTAAAATTCATTCTTAGAAGATTGAACGAAATATGGTTTGTTGCCGCCAAATTATAGAAGATTATCCAAGATGGCAAGAATCTCGATTTAATGATCATTAATTTGAATTTAATTATCAAAGATGATAAGAAATATAATTTGATATCATCAATTCATATTTATTTGTTAAAGATGAGAAGAAATATGATGTATTGATATCAATTTAATTTTAATATCTTAAATCCTAAATCTGAGACCCAATATCATTGATTTCATCGTTCACATATACGCACATATATCGGACACATCATACATATCTCACACATCGCGCCAGATGAAATTATCACTAGTGGATGACACACTATAATTTCAAAAAACTATCTTGAATCAACCAAATATTGAATCCATATCGGGAGATCCGAAATCATCTGATCATTTGTATAATCCTAAAGCCCGAAATCCCAAATCATACAAAATTTTTGAATGATTATGAACTTCGTCGAGAATTGATGAAAGAAAAGGAGGAATCCCTGCTAGCTAGTTGACATATTTCATATATATCATTTTTTTTGGAATCCCATCATACAAAATTTCGATCATTTTCGATCTAATCGAGATTATTCTCTATATGGCTGTGTGCCTAAACCCCCGGTTGTCGCGGCCCGCGCCCGCGTCCACCTCTTACAGACCTCTGTAACGCCCGGCTTGTTACAGACCTCTGTCGCGCGCACGTTCGTATCATGTATATGACATTTTTTTACATGATATGATATTATATTATATATACATATACATATACTAAAAACGGGTCTCAGGACGCATTGGGGTAGGACGATAATTGCGTCTATTTGGGGCGCACGTTGCTTACGCAGATGTCGCAATAGACTGTGCTTGGTCTGTCGCGGTTATGTAACCCACTTGTAACGGAGTATGTCGCGCGCCGGGAGGCATGAACGCAGATTTTGGGGAATTTCGGGTTTCAGGCTTCGGGGGTATCTTGCCTAAAACCTAGAGAGTCCCCCTGTTGAGGACTGAGTGGGATTGGCCGCGACAAGCAAGACCTGGAACCCTCATAGCTTCTTGAAATTTACGAGCACTTCCCCCCCGATAAACAAGACTTGGAACCATTCTACATACTCAGCCTTTAAGAGTTTAAGGGGGTTTCAAATTCAGGGATATATATATTTGCTTCTTGAAACTCACGAACACTTACCCCCCGATAAGCAAGACTTGGAAACTGCAGACAACAACAAACAGGTCTGTCGCAAAACCCCGCCCATTGATACATACCCTCTGTAACGGGGTATGTCGCGTGCGTGGGCCGCGGCCCTGTTACAAGCAATTAACATTGGCACGCGACCATATATCCTGGCAGGGACAATTTCAATGGCTAGTGACGCCCTATTTCCTACCCTAATTTCTATCGTATTCTTAGCATGCAAGCTTTTCAAAAGGCGATGTACCCCCTGCTCACATCCCCGGGTTGTGTCGAGCACAATTGATTCGAAGCCAAACTTTTGCGCATCATATGCCTACAAAATTCCCTTATCTTGTCGTTTGATTTCTATATACGCAACCACAACACTAGCCAGATTCGGGAATTATCGCCCTATCGTCACCGCTGTGAATGGAGACACCAACACGAAATCCAAAGCTATCGAGGAGAATCTCTACCATTCGTTCTGTTTCAAAAGGAGATTGACGATAATAAGATATCCGCCAGATGGCGTCCCTCAGCATTTGGCAAAACCCCCAAGCTCGAATTTGAACCACTTTCCCACTTCTCGTACAACCCTGAAAATCGTATCGTATAAAGAATAATATCAATATATGCGAGTCCGACAGCCTCCTGACATACAAATCATGCTATAACGATCCATAATATCGAGAGTGTTCATATGGAAGGGGTATCCGCCATCATTATCCAAAATATCCAACCCAAATCGGGCATATCCGTCGAGCTCTCTATACATGCCAGGGTGCAAGAGACTTCTGCTCCCAAAAGCACCAATTAAGAAATGAAGTGAAACCTGAATTTTTGATTCTTCCATTCTGAAACTGAGAGAATCCCATACAAGGGAAAAGAACATCCACTCACGAAATCCCACAGTGAAACAAGCCACGCTTGGGCAATGCACCCGCCGCCACCCCCAATTAAGAGAAGACGTCAGTGGATCGGAGACACCAAAACAATGAAAGAGGGATTCTCCCAAAATGAAGAAAAGAGACTTCTGCTCTAATCCATGAATTCAGAAACTAAGTCGAGTTCATTCCTATCAATTGGATATCAAGTATTCACTGGCAAGTTCAGTCGTAGATCAATAGACCATTCCATCCATCTGCGCGGGGGAATCCTGATCATGTCTCCGAATATATTTGGAGGAATTGGATGGAACGATCCCACGTGGATTGCGAGCCCTTGTTTCCATCTCTAGCTCGCTGTAAGCAAATGTGTCCGTGTTGCTGAAGAATGAAAGAGATGCGCTGTCTCAAGAGTTGACCCGTCGACCCCGGTTTACGCAGAAGATTGTCGTCAGCTGCCCGACAAAGTGATGTCAAAAGACGATCCCCTTCCGGCTCCAAACCTCCCGAATGTTCAAAGACCAATGGTTCAAATCCTACGCCCTGAGCATGATATCTCTGAGCTGTCGCACGATCTCTACGCTTGTTCTCCGCCCGAGCTTTGGCAGCCGACAAACTTTCACGTCCCAGATCCGATGACCGAAAAGGAGAAACAATCGAGATATCAAGGGCAATCTTCGGCATCAGACCCCAAACAGATTGCCTACAAAGAGCAGTGGGGACAGTCAAGATATCCGCCGGGCGTTGAGCAGGCAAGTCAGGGAGAAGATGATTGGGTTCCAATTTACACTGTAATTTTCCTCCCTGAAGAGTCCGATAAATTTCGTCCCGAATCATATTGTGCAGGACCGTTTTTCCTCCAAGCATATGACAAGCGAGCGTGTGGTAGCCAAAAGAATCCTGAGATTGGGGGCATCGTGGACACGCCGTATCGCCTTCAAATACCTGTCTGCCAAGTCGCATAGAAAGAATATCGTGGAATGCAACATTAGACAAACATATATCAAAGGCATGGCTTGGGATAGCTCGAACCCATCCATCCGCCCATGGGGCGGCAAACGCCCGGAGCACTCGCTTGTGTTGATCCGAAAAAATATCATCAAGACCCTTACGGAAGGAGAGCATCACGACATCCATCAATTCCTTTTGTTTCGGTTTGATATCGGGATTCTCAAGTTCAGACTGCCAATTCGGGAAGATCTGCGCAAGTCGTTGAATTGCAGGAGCCCAACCCAATCTCGAGTAGTCCGGTCGGGCGGGGACCAAAGCCTCAACCAATGGCGCCACGGCCCGGCACGCCACCACAAACGCTAGGTCAGCTCTTCCAAACGCTTGATTTCCAAGAGGGATCTGTTCGGAAGTAAACCCTAAACCACCAGCAGTGCTCTAGGGAGCATGGCTTGGAGCCATTGGGCATTCGTGAGTTTCCCGCCGAAAAGATTCTCAAAGGCCTCCCTATATCTACCATCATACCACTCCAAGAGCGGAATCAAGAAATGTCGAGGAGCAGTCCTACCCAAATAATTCAACTGAGGCCAGCCCATGCAAGTCTGAAGCAGATGAAAAGCAACGTGCTTCTGATCCAACTCCTCAAGGGCCTGGAATTGTCGCTCGAAATCCGATTTCCATTCAGCCAAGAATTCAGGAGATCCACATACAGGAGTCTTCAAGATTTGAATATTGCAAGTAGTATCAATACGAACGCCCAGGGCTTGAAATGCACTGACATCGCCCCGGAAAGCATCCCCGGCAAGAAGATAAAGGGTGCAATTACTGAGATCGTATCGTAAACCGTATTCCTCCGCAAGACGAAGCTCCTCCCGAAACAACCTCAACACTTCGTCGACTCTTCCTCCACTAAACCCATCATCCGCGTATTCAGGGGCAAAGAGAACGTCACTCCCAATATTTGCCTGAGCCTCCTCAACCAATCTCTTTCGGGCAAGACAGAACAACGACATCATCATGGGGCACCCTTGCTGACCACGAGAACTAGTAGCCACCTCACCATCATAAACCAGATTGGACGGAGTCCCGTAGCACCACTCAGCAAATCTAGCAGAAGAAGGAGCGTGCCTCCGACATTCGTCCAGAAAAATTTCCGGAAGAATTTCATTAAAAGCGTTCTTAACATCCTTCTGCAAGAGAACACTCGTTGCATCTCCCCGACTACGACCAATCCAGTCTCTCGTGGCGTGCACCAAAGCTTCAGCTCCCCCGGAGACACCAACTGCCACCTGATGTGGCAGCAACCTATCACGGATTGTGGTTGCATCAAGTCTGAAGGTGCACTTGAATACAAGCTTGCGGAATACGTGTCCCATGACAATGGGCCTGGCGTCCTGAGTCAAAGGAACGGGTTTGCCTTCTTTATCCATTTTACCGATGCCCACAAGAGTGCCCCCAACCATGGCTGCAACGCAGCCGGGACATTTGCATCGGCGAGGATTTGCAAGAATTGCTGAAGAATTGGGAGAAGAGGAGATTCAAGTGAATGCCCCACAAGACCTTTCAGAAAGTCAGCTCTAAGCCCATCAGGTCCCGGTCCGGCCCCAACAGGAAAAGAATGAAGTGCCTTCAAGAGGATGGTGCTCTCGATTTCTGGGGTCGGAGGAAGCGCCGAACGGAGCGATCGACCCCTAGGATTAGGGGGGAACTTAGCGAGAAATTTGTTCTTAACGGCCTCAGTGCATGCCGCCAAGCCAGGAGAAACCAATCTCTTCATAGCCCGCCCCGGTCTTCCCAAAGATACCAATCGTCTCACATCAGCATGCACTCCCTCACGATAATGCTCCCGATTGTCATCCATGCTACCCCTCTTCGTTTGGACCACCCTGCCCTTGGCCTCGTCCCAAAGCTCGCGGCGCTCTCCCAATCGCCATCGCAGAAGAAGAGATTTCGTGAACATCAAAGCCTGTCCTCTCGTAACACCGCTTTAGGAAACATCAAGAGCTCAAGCCACGCTTGACGCGCCTGCCGCTTGCCAAGACAATCATCCCCACTGTTTCGCCCTCCCTCAAGCACAGGCAAAGGATCCCAAGCGTCCGGTCTAGACGTACAAGTGACTGCGGCGAGAAGTTTACCATACTCTTCCCTAATCAGGGGCCAAAGTTCCGAGGGGAGTTGATCCTTAGTGAAAATAAGGGCAGTGAAAATCTCAAACAAAGAAGGAAGTTGAACCGCATATTGGGGAAAGGAAATTCGATCTATTCCAACATCCCGCCACAAACTTGACAATAACGCAAGCCCATGTCCTGCAGAAACTCATCAGAGGGTCGACCCTGAATCTCACCAAGAAGGTGCATATCAAGATGGGCTCTCAACGCATCCTTAGAAGTCCACGCCGGCCCCCGCCCACGACTCCGGGCACACCCCTGAACAGGACAATAGAACTCTTCGCATCCTCCACGTCGTCGAATTTCATTTGCGGAATCCAGAATCTCCCCAACTGGTATACCAAACAACTCTGCCAAAGCCAAGTCAGCATCAGAAGCCCTCTGCGCAATTCCGATTTGAGATGAAATCGTGGCGCCAGACCCTATCCCTTCATCAATCTCCATCGCACTCCCAGAAGCCCGCAAATTGGAGAAGAGACTCTGTCCCGGATAAGCAGGGAAATTCCAAATCAGGAGAAGCAACAAGAATCTTCCCCAAAATTCAAGGCCCTCCGTCAACCAGTGAACATCCGCCAAGGACACCAATTTACACAACTCCACTGGCAAATGTCGCTCCATGACCCATGCCCCAATACCAGCCAGAAAAACCAATCCACGACAGACATCCCTACACCTCAACAACCAAATGGCGAGCAAGCAGAAGTAGACTCCCTGGACAATTCCCCTTAATGAGTTGACAAGTACGATCTCTACGCTTGTTCTCCGCCCGAGCTTTGGCAGCCGACAAACTTTCACGTCCCAGATCCGATGACCGAAAAGGAGAAACAATCGAGATATCAAGGGCAATCTTCGGCATCAGACCCCAAACAGATTGCCTACAAAGAGCAGTGGGGATAGTCAAGATATCCGCCGGGCGTTGAGCAGGCAAGTCAGGGAGAAGATGATTGGGTTCCAATTTGCACTGTAATTTCCCTCCCTGAAGAGTCCGATAAATTTCGTCCCGAATCATATTATGCAGGACCGTTTTTCCTCCAAGCATATGACAAGCGAACGTATGGTGTCCAAAAGAATCCTGAGATTGGGGGCATCGTGGACATGCCATATCGCCTTCAAATACTTGTCTGCCAAGTCGCATAGAAAGAATATCGTGGAATGCAACATTAGACAAACATGTATTAAAGGCATGGCTTGGGATAGCTCGAACCCATCCATCCGCCCATGGGGCGGCAAACGCCCGGAGCACTCGCTTGTGTTGATCCGAAAAAATATCATCAAGACCCTTACGGAAGGAGAGTATCACGACATCCATCAATTCCTTTTGTTTCGGTTTGATGTCGGGATTCTCAAGTTCAGACTGCCAATTCGGGAAGATCTGCGCAAGTCGTTGAATTGCAGGAGCCCAACCCAATCTCGAGTAGCCGGGTCGGGCGGGGACCAAAGCCTCAACCAATGGCGCCACGGCCCGGCACGCCACCACAAACGCTAGGTCAGCTCTTCCAAACGCTTGATTTCCAAGAGGGATCTGTTCGGAAGTAAACCCTAAACCACCAGCAGTGCTAGGGAGCATGGCTTGGAGCCATTGGGCATTCGTGAGTTTCCCACCGAAAAGATTCTCAAAGGCCTCCCTATATCTACCATCATACCACTCCAAGAGCGGAATCAAGAAATGTCGAGGAGCAGTCCTACCCAAATAATTCAACTGAGGCCAACCCATGCAAGTCTGAAGCAGATGAAAAGCAACGTGCTTCTGATCCAACTCCTCAAGGGCCTAGAATTGTCGCTCGAAATCCGATTTCCTGGTTTGACACCATTCAACCAAGAATTCAGGAGATCCATATACAAGAGTCTTCAAGATTTGAATATTGCAAGTAGTATCAATACGAACGCCCAGGGCTTGAAATGCACTGACATCGCCCCGGAAAGCATCCCCGGCAAGAAGATAAAGGATACAATTACTGAGATCGTATCGCAAACCGTATTCCTCCGCAAGACGAAGCTCCTCCCGAAACAACCTCAACACTTCGTCGACTCTTCCTCCACTAAACCCATCATCCGCGTATTCAGGGGCAAAGAGAACGTCACTCCCAATATTTGCCTGAGTCTCCTCAACCAATCTCTTTCGGGCAAGACAGAACAACGACATCATCATGGGGCACCCTTGCTGACCACGAGAACTAGTAGCCACCTCACCATCATAAACCAGATTGGACGGAGTCCCGTAGCACCACTCAGCGAATCTAGCAGAAGAAGGAGCGTGCCTCCGACATTCGTCCAGAAAAATTTCCGGAAGAACTTCATTAAAAGCGTTCTTAACATCCTTCTGCAAGAGAACACTCGTTGCATCTCCCCGACTACGACCAATCCAATCTCTCGTGGCGTGCACCAAAGCTTCAGCTCCCCCGGAGACACCAACTGCCACCTGATGTGGCAGCAACCTATCACGGATTGTGGCTGCATCAAGTCTGAAGGTGCACTTGAATACAAGCGTGCGGAATACGTGTCCCATGATAATGGGCCTGGCGTCCTGAGTCAAAGGAACGGGTTTGCCCTCTTTATCCATTTTTCCGATGCCCACAAGAGTGCCCCCAGCCAACCATGGCTGCAACGCAGCCGGGACATTTGCATCGACGAGGATTTGCAAGAATTGCTGAAGAATTGGGAGAAGAGGAGATTCAAGTGAATGCCCCACAAGACCTTTCAGAAAGTCAGCTCTAAGCCCATCAGGTCCCGGTCCAGCCCCAACAGGAAAAGAATGAAGTGCCTTCAAGAGGATGGTGATCTCGATTTCTGGGGTCGGAGGGAGCGCCGAACGGAGCGATCGACCCCTAGGATTAGGGGGGAACTTAGCGAGAAGTTTGTTCTTAACGGCCTCAGTGCATGCCGCCAAGCCAGGAGAAACCAATCTCTTCATAGCCCGCCCCGGTCTTCCCAAAGATACCAATCGTTTCACATCAGCATGCACTCCCTCACGACAATGCTCCCGATTGTCATCCATGCTACCCCTCTTCGTTTGGACCACCCTGCCCTTGGCCTCATCCCAAAGCTCGCGGCGCTCTCCTAATCGCCATCGCAGAAGAAGAGATTTCGTGAACATCAAAGCCTGTCCTCTCCGTTGACCGCGCTTATTTTGACGTAACACCGCTTTAGGAAACATCAAGAGCTCAAGCCACGCTTGCCGCGCCTGCTGCTTGCCAAGACAATCATCCCCACTGTTTCGCCCTCCCTCAAGCACAGGCAAAGGATCCCAAGCGTCCGGTCTAGACGTGCAAGTGACTGCGGCGAGAAGTTTACCATACTCTTCTCTAATCAGGGGCCAAAGTTCCGAGGGGAGTTGATCCTTAGTGAAAATAGGGGCAGTGAAAATCTCAAACAAAGAAGGAAGTTGAACCGCATGTTGGGGAAAGGAAGTTCGATCTATTCCAACATCCCGCTTTCGTGGCCAACAAGAGGGATGAATTCCTGAAGCATATCTTTGACTTATACTTCGGCCACAAACTTGACAACAACGCAAGCCCATGTCCTGCAGAAACTCATCAGAGGGTCGACCTTGAATCTCACCAAGAAGGTGCATATCAAGATGGGCTCTCAACGCATCTTTAGAAGTCCACGCCGGCCCCCGCCCACGACTCCGGGCACACCCCTGAACAGGACAATAGAACTCTTCGCATCCTCCACATCGTCGAGTTTCATTTGCGGAATCCAGAATCTCTCCAACTGGTACACCAAACAACTCTGCCAAAGCCAAGTCAGCATCAGAAGCCCTCTGCGCAATTCCGATTTGAGATGAAGCCGCGGCGCCAGACCCTATCCCTTCATCAATCTCCATCGCACTCCCAGAAGCCCGCAAATTGGAGAAGAGACTCTGTCCCGGATAAGCAGGGAAATATCAAACCAGGAGAAGCAACAAGAATCTTCCCCAAAATTGAAGGCCCTCCGTCAACCAGTGAACACCCGCCAAGGACACCAATTTACACAACTCCGCTGGCAAATGTCGCTCCATGACCCATGCCCCAATACCAGCCAGAAGAACCAATCCACGACAGACATCCCTACACCTCACCACCCAAATGGCGAGCAAACAGAAGTAGACTCCCTGGACAATTCTCCTTAATGAGTTGACAAGCTGATTGACTCCCTGGACAATTCTCCTTAATGAGTTGACAAGCTGATTAACTTCCTGGAGGATATCCCGAAGAAGAACAAGGAACTCTCCTTCAACAAATCCAGAACTATTCCCCGAATGACGCGCTCCAACAGCAGAGGCAGCACACGAGCGAAGATGGAACAAATAGAAG